CCTCCTCTCCAGTGCTCAACGATGCTGCGAAATCAGCTAGTTTCATGATTTTTCTCAAAACACTTCTTGTTAAATTTGTTTTGACGAAGAAGAAGAGAAGAAAAAAAGAGCCGTGAAAATGGAAGGGTTGGCAAAACTGTTTCATTATTTAATAGAGAAACGAAAACAAGACAGAAAAAAAAACTTAGACACCAACAAAAGTTGTTTGATAACTGATTTGCATTAAATTTCACTTCCTAAGTTTGTCTTTATTAGTTAGTCTTAAACAGTTTACATAAAAATCAGAAACAATTTTTTTGCCAAACTCTCTGTCTACTTTTCAAACTTACAAATTTCTGTATTTAATCATTTCACGCAGAAAATTTATAATTGTTTAGATAGATCAAAACAAGAAAAAAAAACGAAATTAATAAAAAGAATTTTAAGAGACACTAAATTTTTTGTTACCATATTGTTTTAGAAAAACCATTCACAATTTTATACTACTTTTTTTTTCTATAAACTAAAAAAAATTTATCAAATAATAAAAGGAAAAAGAGATGAAGAAAGAAAAGTGTAAATAAAAACTTTTTGGACAAGAATAATGCATGCAAAAAAAGCTATCTTTAAGCAGCTGAAAATAAAAAAAAAGCTTTTTTTTTTTTGGATTTTGGTTGACGTATTCTGTATACCGATCATGAAATTTTTTACTAAACTTACTTGAGCACATTCTACGATTTACGTCAGTACTCGAGAATATAAGAAATGAAAAAAGGTTTTTTTTTTTTTCGGCATATTTTTCAATACCGTGATGAAAACTATTCAACGTTATTACTACCACTAATTTACTGCTAATCTGTTGATGTCTTTTTTTTTTATTCAGCAAACAGAAATAAGATCAGTGTTTTGAAATGTATTGTGAAAATATACGCAAATACAATGTAAATTAATCTAACGCTTACCACCAACATCCGGCCGGTATTGTTGTAAACTGTGTACTTGGTTCATCTTTTTCAATAAAATACATAAGTGTACCAAAAAATATGACACCAGTAAAAACAACCATTGCCATCATTCCTAATTGTCGAAAACTAGCCTAAAATAAATAGATAAGAACAAGTTTTTTTTTTCTTTTTTTGAGCATTCTAAGTCTTAGTTGTAAGCTGAATCTAGTCTTTTTTTTTTGTATTTGTCATTATGTTGCTTTAACATGAACAGTGTATTACTGTTACAGCTTAAAAAGTCGATCAACATCTAGTTGCTTTCGGTGCTTTAAAAACAACAGAGCATTAAAAGATAAAAAAAAATTTTTTTTTCACATAATATTTTCCTAAAACTATATGCTAAAAGTCAGACAAAAAACTTTGAAGAAAAGGAGAAAACGGGAGATTAAAGAATAAAAATATACGACAAGAAGAGAATTGTTGAGCAGTGCTATCAAACTGTAATAACCTTATCACTCTTTTATTTCATAGTCTAATAAGAAGAAAAAAATTGTTTTCTTTCACCTACCTTGAGCGTTTTGCCGAACAGCTGTAGGCCACTACTATATCTACCCAACTTTAAAACCCGTATTACCCGTAATACTCGAAGAATTCGAATAACCAAAAAAGCTCCCTAAACAATGACAATCAACAGAGTTATTTCGGCCTAAAAATTGATGTCAAAGAAAGAAACAATTTAATAACACAAATTAAATAAAGTTGTAGTTTTGCAATAAATTATTTTAACTTCTATACATATTGCCAAGAGTGTATTCAACAATTAGAATAATTTTTGGGAAATTCTGTGAAGAGAGGGTAGCAATAAAAAAGAACAGTAATTGGTAATAAACCTTCCAGTCTTGCATTTCAGCTGTACTGGCACCGACCAAAATAAATGCAAATTCAATAAGAAACGGTAATATTGCAAGAAGATCGATTATATTGAGCAATTTTAAGAAAGTCTTTTTACGATCATAGCTGACGGATAATTTTAGCACATATTCGAATACAAACCATAGTATACAAACATACTCAATAGTACTAAATATCGGATGAGGCTCCGTTAATGGTTCCATGTCTAAACAGACAATGGTTAAGAAAAAAAAAAACAGCTTTTTATTGTCAACTGTACAATTCT